CCTCGATACGTGGGCCAAAGCGCGCCGGGATAAATGGCTGAACTTCACCAACGAATTTTCCATCGAGAATAAACGCATGTGCCAATTGGGAGGATACAGCGACGATCCACTGGGGATATGGGAGATTGACGACGTGGCCAAGGAGCACAAGATGGAGCAGTGGTTAGCCATGGCTACGCCGGAGAAAAAGGAAGCCGACGCGAGGATGTACAAGGCTCTCGAGGATCCACAGGCGCAGCTGGTCAGTCGGATGAAGCAGTGGGAGATTACCATGGATCCCATGTGGATGGCGGAATACGAGGATCCGGAGCTGGTCAAGTACAGAGTATCGCTGAGGCCTGCGGTGCTTTCGACGCCCGAGGCTGCGACGTGAAGGAGAGCTCGACAGACCGTGGGCTTTGCGCAGAATTCATCCAGGCCGTGTATATAGACTGAAGGGGAGACCAAAGGAGCGATGACTCAACGAGGCGGTCTTTTCTTGGCCTGACCGAAGAGAGTTGGATGAGATCCCATTTCTTACAGAACACATGAAGATAATTCCCAACGGCCAGCCAAAAGCACGCCTCTTAATATTAGTTGTTAGGTACACATTTCATTTTCGTTTTTTGCCCAATCCGATCCGATAGCCAGCCAGCCAGCTACCCCTGACTGGGACTTAGGAACTCCTCCGTGATTCAAATCAATGACAATCCTTAATCCTTGCGAGCTTGGACCCATCAAAGCCATGCATGCATGTGGCTACACCTTTGCGGCAACAGGGACGCCAACACCAGCGACACCGGCCGCAGCCGCGGCGGCGGCGGTGGCAGCAGCAGCGGGGGAAAGTTCGGCTGTTTGTGACGAAAACGACAGCGACGACGATGCGGCAGGAGCAGCAGCGGCGGCGGCGGCAGCAGTAGCAGTTGTCGGTGTAGTTGTACTCGTCGCCACACCCGTCTGATTCACGTTTTTGTCGCTCGGGTCGTCGTACGGCGTGGCATCCATGATCTTCCACATCTGGGCCGCGTGCAGCGCGTCGTCGGGCATCTTGCGCGAGATCGACGTGTTTTTGTGGCCGTCGCTGATGAACATGACGCTCTTGCCCTGTATTATTGCCAGGTCCGGGCCCGAACCCCCTTTCCAACGAAAGGGGGGAGGGAGGTGGACGGCGACGTTAGTCGTGCTGGGTCTTGGTGCGTGGTGGATCATGTATCTCATGTAGGGTGTATGTATATGGTGCGTATAAGGGGAAAGGAAAAAGGGAGAAGGGAGTAGTAAGTAAAGGGGATGGAGGGAGGGTGACAAGACTATAAAACTCACCAGACCCAATGTCAATTCAATGGATGAATCGACCATTGTCGGCGTATACTCCTTCAACTTGACCGCCGGCGACGAAGCGACCCCGTTCGTCGTCTTGTTGGTGTCTGCGTCTGTCGCATTCCTCCTCTTCCTGTTCTTCTGATCCGCTCGAATTGTCCGCACAATGTTCTCCGCGACCAGGAACCCTTGCATCGAGGCTGGGCGGCCCATCTTCGGACCGGGCAGGTCGATCACGTCGCCCAGGGCGAACATGTTGCGGGGCGCGTCTCGGATCTGCAGCGTCTTCTCCACCAGGATCGAGCCCGACGGGGACACAGACTTTGGGGAGAAGCTCTTCAGGAGCGCCGAGTTGGGCGCTTGCCCTGTGCATTGGATCTGGTGTATTTCGGTCAGCAAGGGACGTGTCGAATGCAGCTTGATGGCCAGGACGACGAGAGAGCACCCCCTCCTTGCGAGAGAATACTTACCACTAGATCACACTGGATGGTATTGCCGCTGCGAAGCTTGATCTGCTTGGAATCATCCCCCTCCAAGCCCGCGATCACCCGGTCGCCCAGGTACAGCTTGATGCCGAGCTCTTCGAGCGCCTTCTTCGCAATGACGTGGAGTTCGGCGCCGAAGTTGTTGAGCAGGTTTTCGCGGGAATGCACCAGCGTGACGCTTTTCTGCGGATACTTGCTCTTGATGTCCGAGGCGACTTCGACGCCCGCGGCACCACCGCCCACGATGACAATGTCCTTGGAGGCCACGATGCGCTGCTGCTCCTCCTGGAAGAATCTCACACAATTCGCCTTGTCGTCGCCGTCGCCGTCCTTGTCGAGCCTCGCCGGATACCGCGATCGCGATCCGGTCGCTACGGCGAGATACTCGTACGCAATCTCTGTTCCATCCTGCAGAATGACCTTGCCGGGCTCGATCGCGACGACAGAGCCCTGCTTGAACACGTAGGCTCCGACCGGAACGCTGCGTGGGCCCTGGTCCGGATACGGGATGATGGCATTGTGCTCCTGGCCCGCGAGGACCGTGGCGCGAGGGAAATTCCACGTAAAGTGGAAATGGGAATGTTTATCGATCAAGACCACTCTGTACCCCGTGGGAACGGACTCGGCGAGTCGCTTGGCGAGAAAATACCCAGCGAAGGAGCCGCCTATGATCACGATGTTGCGCGGGTCAGGTACGGTTTTGTACCTCAATCGGTGGATATATGTGGATATATAGATACATAATCTCTCAAAAGAGGCAGACAGACCGAAGCCAAGCAGTTTGGTATAGAGAAAGGCTTTGGCAAACATCTTGGAGGGAGAGAAAGATCTTGAGACAGAGGACGAGGCGGAGAGGGTAAAGGGGCGGGCGAGGCATTGATGATCTTATCAGATAAAAATCAGATTGAAAAACAAACGAGATTCATCGTCATCTCTGCTTTGGCTCCTCGGAATGCGCGGTGTTTCCGTGGAGGTGGGGGAGGAGGCGCCGATGTCGGCTGAAACTCGCTTGAATATAGTGTTTCTCGGCTGTTGACAAGGGTATGGTGTACATATGTACGAGTACTTGTTTATCCGCCAAGTCCTATGGAGATCGGTCCAGGGGATGTGCTCCGCAAATTGGCATTTCCCAAGGCTGCCGAGACTATGGCTCGAAAAGTCCCTTGCGAGACGTCACTGGCGGCTTCGCAGCCTTCAGATACCGGATGCTCTCCCTTGCCTGCTGGAAGTGGACAGTGCCGTACCGGAGCAGCTCGGCAAAAGTACCTGCCTGGTGATCCTTGTCCTCGTTGCCTGGCTCCTCCCAAAGGACACCAGCTGCCGGCGTCTTGGTTAGGTTCTTTCCATGGGTGATTTTTTGCAAGCTTGACTCTGTCAGTAGCCGCCAGACCAGCTTGTACGCCGTCTTGTATTGCTCAGAGTCCGTTGGCGCGTCGAGTGGGGTGGCTAGGGCGTTGAACAGGTTCGGTCCGCCAAAGCCGATCGTGGCTTCAGCGCCCCAGTCTTCTTGCAGAACGTCGAAGATGAGGACCTTGTTCAGCCAGTACTCGGTCGCGTTGAAGCCATCTCGCGCATTCTCCAGCATGCAGAGTCTTTGCCAGGACAGAACCTGGCTGATGTATTCCATTACCGTCTGGGGCTCCACCGCGAAGTCCCATCCGAAATTCGCCTGTTCCGCCGCCTCGAAGGTGTGAGTCAATGCGAAAGCGACTAGAGGATGTTGAATCAAGCCTTCGTGATTTTGGCGGTCCTTCCACAAATAAATGAAGAGGTCGTGCCTACAAGCGTTGTTGTTAGCTCGCGCCCGGCAAGTCTTGAATGTCACATACCAGCATTTGATGAAAGGGTCGCCCTTCCGACTCGCGACGAAATGGTTGGCAATGGTTGTTCCATACATGATTGGGACACAGACTTCAAAAGGTGAGTTGGGATCGGCCAACTGATTCCAGCATATCCTGTCAAGATCACGTATCAAGATGTTCCCAGTGTCCATGTAGACTCCTCCATGAGAATACAAGCATGCCCCTCGCAGGAAGTCAGAGCTATGAGGCCCAGCATATACCCCAGTCATGGTGCTAGTGACGAATGCTTGCGGAAGGAGATCAGCTGAAATGTATTTGAGGGCGTTATTGGGAGAGCCAGGTATGGAATCGAGGATCCGGATGGTCCACGAGGGCGAACAGATCCGAACCCAATCGACAACATTACGCTGGCACCATCCAGGCATCGCCCGAAGACCCTTGTCCCAGAAGGCCCAGATATTCTTTTCAGACGTGACAGGCTTGTACTCCTCTAACGAAGCCAGGATTTCTTTGTCAGAGCGCTGATCAATATGGTCGACATAGCGCAGCTGGGCTTCAAATTCCGCTGGGATCTTAAACTTCGTCGTAGAGGCCATCATCTGGAGATTGAAAGGTGAAATGGAGATTGACTTGAGCAAAAAGAGATCACCTCACCTTCTGACGAGTCTGTCGTTCCATTTATACTGGCCTTGGGCTACCTCACAGTCCAAGGTCTGAGGTTGATTCCCTCTATGCATAAGCTACTCGTTGGATACTACATGATCGAGTCGTGGAGCGCAGCAGCTTTGGGCCTGAATTGGAGGCCTGACGAACAATTTGGGAATATATCCATTGCTGGCACCCTTCGATGTCGTTTCGGGTGGATGCCCGAGTCCGAGCCAATCCGCCGGGTCAATGAGTCTCCGAGCTTTTTCGGTCTGAGTCACCAACAATCCTATCCAAGAATGGCGTCGGAGGTAACAATTCACTCAAGGTTAGCGTGAAGCGTCACAGATTGGGCGGAGCAGCTATGTTGAGTGATGTCCCCCTGTCGCACCGCATACGGTAGAAAAACCAAAGAGGGGGGAAGTTGTTCTCCTCCTTGTTTGGACGGCAGGACGGACAAGGGAACGAGGTGCATGGAGGAGAAATACGACCTGAACCAGGATATGGATGAGAGATCTCGTACAACGTAGTGAGGCAGGTGAGCCGATCACGTGCTTATATAGTGCCAGTTTAACAAGCTGCGACCGACTAGCCTCTTTAAGATTAGCCTCAACATACCATTGGGGAGTTCGCGAAGCGCGTGCTTGTTCCACCTGGAGCCTCGCGTCGCTTTGATGATCCAACAATCCCTCACGACTCTCAGCTCCACGGCGCTGTTGTGCGCACGCCTCTGAAAAGACACCAACGCCTCCGAGAATCTCATCTGCGCATCATGCACATTAAGCAGATCACCATCCAAGGCTTCAAGAGGTAAAGACTACCCAGGTGTTGATGCAGAACCTGGTTTTAATCAATTCTTGCAGCTACAAGAACCAGACCGTTGTCAATCCCTTCTCCCCGAAACTCAACGTCGTTGTCGGTCGCAATGGCTCGGGCAAGAGCAACTTTTTCGCCGCGATTCGATTCGTTCTCAGTGATGCCTATTCACAGATGGGACGTGAAGAGCGACAGGCCCTCATTCACGAAGGGTCCGGCTCCGCTGTCATGTCCGCGTATGTGGAGATAGTGTTCGATAACACAGATGGACGGTTCCCAACCGGAAACGATGAGCTCATACTGCGCCGTACGATCGGCCTCAAGAAAGATGAATATTCACTCGATCGCAAGAATGCGACAAAACAAGATGTCATGCAGCTCCTTGAAAACGCAGGATTTTCGCGCGCGAACCCATACTACATCGTTCCCCAAGGTCGCATCACCAGGTTGACCAATATGAAGGACTCCGAGCGACTGGACGTCCTGAAAAGCGTCGCAGGTACACAGCAGTTTGTCGCCAAGAAGGAGGAGTCGCAGAAGATCATGAGTGACACTAGCAATAAACTGGCCGCCATTGATCAGACGTTCGAGCAGATCGAAGACCGTCTCAAAGAACTCGAGGAGGAACAAGCAGAACTCCGAGATTTCCAGGAGAAGGACCGCGAAAAACGCGCACTTGAATACACCCTCTTCCATCGAGAGCAAGATGAAATCAACAGAGCTTTGGCAGAATTGGAAGATCGAAGAGCGGACGGGATTGACGGGGTCGACGGGGACCAGGAACGCTACGCACAAAACGAGGACGAACTAGCCCGGATCTCCCAACAAATTCAAAAGCTCAACCATCAAATCCAGGCCGCGCGGCTTGAAAAAAGACAGTACGAAGAGGAAAAGCGAGAAAAAGCGAGGGCGCGAGCCCAAGTCGAGTTGGAAGAGAGAAATCTGGTCCACGGACAAGCGGCAGCTCAACGCACCAAGCAGGAGCGTGACAAAGAGCTGAAACAAGTTCGCGCGCAAATCCAGGAGATCGAACAAGAACTGAGCACCATTATCCCGCAATTCCAGGCGGAGAAGGCAAAGGAACAGGCCGTCAAAACTCGGTTGGAGGAAGCAACCGCCACGCAACAGCGGCTCTATGCGAAGCAAGGGAGAACTGCTCGATTCAAGTCAAAGGCAGATCGGGATAGCTGGCTACAAGCACAGATTGACGAAACATTCCAGTCTCTCTCCCGCTTCAAAGCGACTCGCATGCAAACCGCCGAGGGCATCACAGACGATGAAAAGCAAATTGCCAGTCTCGAGAAGGAGATCGAAAGCCTTCAGCAGCGACTGGGTGCACCGGACCATTCCATTGACCAAGACATTCAAGCGGCCAAAGAGAGGAAGGACGCGCTGATAGATGAGCGGAGAGCGTTGTGGCGCAAGGAGGCGCAGCTTGACTCGGAATACGCAGGGGCTTTGGATGACCTGAGAAAAGCTGAACGCAACCTGTCACACATGATGGATGGCAACACCAGCCGGGGTTTAGATGCCGTTAGGCGCATAAAGGAGCAGTACCGCCTGGAAGGTTGCTATGGTCCGCTTGCAGAGCTGATTGATGTCCCTCAACATCACACAGCCGTTGAAGTCACTGCAGGAGGTTCCCTATTCCACTATGTGGTGGACAACGACGACACAGCGAGCAAGGTCATGGAGATCCTGAGCAGGGAGCGCGCTGGGCGACTTACCTTCATGCCGTTGAATCGACTCAAGCCTAAAACAGCAAACTTCCCCAACGCGCAAGATGCGAGACCACTTATGTCACTCATCAATTACGACAAGAAGTTCGAGCAAGCTGTCCAACAGGTTTTTGGCAAAGCCATTATTGCACAGAACCTAAGCGTCGCAGCACAATATGCTAGAACTCACGGTGTGACCGCTGTAACCCCCGAGGGTGACCGGTCTGACAAGAAAGGCGCATTGACCGGTGGTTACCATGATACCCGCTCTTCGAGACTCAAAGCCACGAGGGCCGTGATGGCAGCTCGCGAGAGATTCGAGGCGGTCAAGGCCGAGGGCACCGATAACAAGAAGAAGATTGAAAAGATTGACCAAACCATCACAAAGGCTATGAGCGAGGTTCAAAAACTCGAGCAACAAAAAAACCAATCTCAAGGTAGCCAGATCTTACTCAGGCAAGAGATCAAAAGCAAGATGGACATGCTACAGCGCAAAAAAGAGGATCTCGAAGCAAAACAGAAGCAAGAGGCTTCGATAGCGGCCAACGTTAAGATCCTGACGGACCAACAGTCTGCCTACCAAGCTGAGTTGGGCTCAGACTTTAAGAAAGCACTGAGTGCAGCCGAAGAGAAGCAACTAGAGAGTCTTACAATCACTATACAAAAGTTGAGGCGCGAATACAACGATCTGTCTGCGTCTAGAGCAGAGATTGAAACCAGGAAGGCTGACTTGGAAGCACGGTTGAACTCGAGCCTGAAACCTCAGCTCGAGGCGCTACAGACCGACGAAGTGGACGAAGAGGCCGGCAGCTCTTCCCAGATACGCGCCAAGAGGGCCGAGTTGGCACGTTTGACCAAAGAGCTCAGCTCTGTGCAGACTTATCTGGATGAGCTCGAGGAGAAACTGGAGCAATCGGCGACTCAAGTCGGCGAGCTCGAGGCTGAAGCGGCCGAGATAAGGCGCCAACAAGAAGGATTGACCAAGGCGATCGAACGTCACCAACGCCGTCTGGAGAAATCGGTCCAGAAGAAGGCTGCTCTCTTGGCCTCGAAGCAGGACACTGTGGAGAACATCCGCGAGCTCGGTGCCATCCCGGAAGACTTGCGGAAGAAGTATCAGAATACTGACTCGAACGTCATTGTGAAGAAGCTCCAAAAGGCAAAGGAAGCCTTGAAGAAATACAATTCTGTCAACAAACATGCTTTTGAACACTACCGAAAATCAATGAAGCAGCGGGAAGAGCTCACTGCAAGACGAAAGGAGCTTCAGGCAGGAAGATCGTCCATAGAGAACCTGATCAAAGTTCTCGACCAGAGGAAGGACGAAGCCATCGAGCGGACCTTCAAGCAGGTTAGCAAGGCGTTTGCCGAAGTTTTTCAGAAGCTCGTCCCTGCTGGTCGAGGGCGATTGGTCATTCAACGCAAAACCGACAAGCGACAAGCTGACGACTCGGATGAAGACTCGGATGCTGAACGCGGGAACAAGCGCGGTGTTGAGAACTATACCGGCGTGGGTATTAGTGTTAGCTTCAACAGCAAACATGACGATCAGCAGCGGATCCAGCAGTTGAGCGGTGGTCAGAAGAGTAAGCATGTTCACGTCTCTGGGGACGCCTCTTTACTGATCGCGTGATGTCTAGGTCTTTGCAGTCTTGCCCTCATCTTCGCCATCCAAGCCACTGACCCGGCACCATTCTACATCTTCGACGAGATTGACGCGAACCTCGACGCACAATATCGGACCGCGGTGGCCGATCACCTTTTGTACCTTGCAAATAGGGCGGATGAGGAGCCCGCAAACGGCGACGAGAGACCGCTTGGGGGGCAGTTCATCTGTACAACATTCCGACCTGAAATGCTGAGGGTGGCGGACAAGTGTTTCGGCGTGCGCTTTGGTAATAATGTGAGCACCATTAGGGAGGAGACGAAGGAAAATGCGCTGGATTTCATTGAGAGCCAGACTCAGTGATTGGGAGGGTTGGGATACTGTGTGCTTGCTGGCTCTGGGACGACGATACTAGTATCTTGGGATTCAGGAATAGACGATGATGATGATTGACGCGCGAGGCCTTACGATATCGTTTGAGGCTGGTGATTGGGTGTAATGGCACGAGGGATTGCAGGTGCAGTTCAGGCACACAGAGCACTAGGATCTCGGAGAGGAGAGGGATTACGATATCATGTGTTTTTTGGACCGCCGTGTGAGAGTGTTGCCTGCGCCTTTGTTCTTTGTTCTCGTGTGTTTGGCCAGCGCGTAAAGTACCGAGTACAACGCGTCCGTGTCAACAACGCCAAGCCCATTGACGTGCCTGTGGATCCCGAGCCAGTTTTTGGCTGCAACAAACCTTGCAAATTTCCATCCATTTTCCCTCTCTTCCCGCCTGGCGGTAGCCAGCGACGGACCCCTACCTTTTGCTCTTCCTCAAGTCTTTGCTTTTAATATCAAACACGATACCAGTCCAAGGCCTTTATCGGACTCGTCCACACCCTTAGACCCGGGCGGACGTCACACCTCGATTCGCTGAGAGACGTCTCAAGTCGGACTCGACCAATAGTTCCACTACAACACTCTCCCGCTCTATTTCTTACACACACACACACACACACACTTGGTCAGGATGAAGTACGTTCTGGTGAGCGGTGGCGTGATCAGTGGGATCGGCAAGGGGATAATCGCGTCGTCCACGGGTCTTCTGCTCAAGACCGTCGGTCTGAAGGTGACGGCGATCAAAATCGACCCATACCTGAATGTGGATGCAGGAACTATGGCCCCAACCGAGTATGCAGACTTTGGTTATGCCGTCAGATGGCCGTCTAACTATTGTGTAGGCATGGGGAGTGTTTTGTCCTGGACGATGGCGGCGAGGTCGACCTCGATCTCGGAAACTACGAGCGATACCTGAACGTGACCTTGACCTTTGAGAATAGCATCACAACTGGAAAAGTGTATCAGCAGGTTATTGAGCGTGAGAGGAGAGGAGACTACCTTGGTAAGACAGTCCAAGTGGTCCCTCACATCACAAATGCAATTCAGGACTGGATTGAAAGAGTGGCAAGAATCCCAGTGGATGATACAAAGGAACAGCCGGATGTGTGCATCATCGAGCTAGGTGGGACGGTAGGTGACATTGAAAGTGCGCCCTTTATTGAGGCCATGCGGCAATTGCGAAGAAGAGCAGGTCGTGACAATTTCATACACATTCACGTTTCGCTGGTGCCGGTCATTGGCGGTGAGCAAAAGACGAAGCCTACACAGCAAGCCATTCGGGATGCTCGCTCGGCTGGTCTGGCACCTGACTTGGTAATCCAGATTCTTCCTGAGCCTTCTCCTGGCTAGAGACTGACGATGACCAGATTGCATGCCGTTGCCGGGACCAGCTTGTCGAGGCCACAACCAACAAAATTGCCATGTTCTGTCAAGTTGAGCCATCACAAGTCCTGGCCGTCCACGACGTCGAGTCGACATATCATGTGCCACAGCTACTCAAAGAACAGGGTCTGCCTGACCAGCTCCGCGAGCTCTTCCGTCTAGACGTTTACAAGATTGCTCCTTCGTTGGTCATAAAGGGCCAGCAGATATGGCAGGAATGGCAGCGCTTGACAACGTCACAAGATCGCTTCTTGGAATCGGAGAAAGTCAATATTGCCCTGGTCGGCAAATACACAAACCTCCACGACTCTTATCTCTCGGTCATCAAGGCTCTGGAACACAGTGCCATGGCGTGCCGGCGCAAACTCAACCTTGTTTGGGTCGACGCAAGCGACCTCGAAAAATCCACGCTGGATTCGAACCCAGAGAAATACCACAAGGCATGGCATGAACTATGTACAGCCGACGGTGTCCTTGTCCCCGGTGGATTCGGACATCGCGGGACTGAAGGGATGATTGCAGCTGCCAACTGGGCTCGAACAAAGCCTAAACCATATCTCGGCATATGCCTGGGTATGCAGGTCGCTGTTGTTGAGTATGCTCGCAACGTGTGTGGTCTGAAGTCGGCTGGCTCGGTCGAACTAGATGCACAAACGCCGGACCCCGTGGTCATCTTCATGCCGGAAATCGACAAGACGACCATGGGCGGCAACATGCGACTGGGCCTGCGCCCGACAATCTTTCAGGAGAATACACAGTGGTCGCGACTGCGGAAACTCTACAACAATGAGCCTAGCATCCATGAGCGACACCGTCATCGCTACGAAGTGAACCCCGAATACATTACCCGCCTATCCGATGCCGGCTTGTCATTTGTTGGCAAAGACGACAAGGGTGAGCGCATGGAAGTCATGGAATTGAAAGACCACCCCTTCTTTGTAGGTGTACAGTTCCATCCCGAGTATTTGAGTCGTGTACTCCAGCCCAGTCCGCCTTATTTGGGCTTTGTGGCCGCGAGTGCGGGAATGCTGGAGCAGGCGTTTTCTGCGGTGGCGGCACGAGACGAATTGCGCAATGGCAATGGCGCCAACAACCATTTGCCGCACGAAAATGGTGTTAATGGCGCCTTGACCAACGGGATGAGCCAGGTGTCGCTTTCGTCCTCTACGGGATTCTGACGGTCAGAGGATGACGGTACCAAGGCTTCAATTTGATTTTGGATGCCAGCACCCCGAGGAGGTCTCAGCGGAGGGCAACGCATGGAATATTGGAGTGTCCATCAAGCACCATCGTCAATCCTTGTCCATCACGAATTCTTTTGTTATGAGGAGAATACACACACATCTTATCGCATGCTTGGAACTTGCGCCTGGTACGAAGGACTTGAGGGAAATTTTTATGGACACGCACGAAATCTATAGAATATGAAGGAGCCATTTTCCCCGGGTCTCATTTTTGGTTTTCAGGGACCCGTGGCGTCAGGAACTGGTGTAATTAATTCTTCCTATATCGGTTATTAGGGCCTATATAACTTTTGGGGAGGGGGGGGGGCGCCCTCCGTGCCTCTTTTTATGTGAATGCATCATGATGAATCTTGGGATTTTGTCTCTGAATATGGTATGGACTAGGCTTCTCTTTTCGGTTTTCGCGAATATCCTTTTGTTTCATGTGAATACGTTGTCAGGGGTCCGCTGTGTGAATGACTGACTAGCTGAGCTGGTATGGATCCAGTCAGACGTTGGAACGCTGTGTATTCATTACAGAGCGATCCAGTTCGGTGATCGGCCATCATCCCTTCAATAATTCAGTCTCTCACGACTCAGTGAGCTGGTAGGTCATACGTCGCAGGGTCTACGACGAACCTGCTCCGCTGCCACTTGGGCCCCCGCCAGGCGCTGTCGAACCAACAGAGCCGGAATCGAACGGCTTGCCGCCCACTCTGTGTCGGTGGGCGAGTGCAGTCTTGCCATCTACGTGGACTAGCTCTGCCTCGCGGACGAAGACGGCACCCTGTTCGAGATCGTCTCCATCTCCTCCTCTAGAACCGTTCGCGAGGCTTTGAGCGCGCCGTGCCATGTCGTCGTCGTTATCGTCATCGTCATCACCATCGCCAGCTGCAGCTCTGAGGCGCGCCCTCTCCCGGTCAACCCACCTCCTCCAAGGCCGGTAGCACAGCACACTGATGCCGCCGACAACGACGAAGCTGCCGCAGATGGCGCCGCCGATGACCTCGTACAGATCGCCGGCCTTGGCAACGCCGTCCCAGAAGGCGCCCTTGGGGGAGGCGACGTTGAGGATCAAGGAGAGCAGCTGCAGCATGCCGATGATGATGGCGCATAGCACGGTCAGCGTGGTCAGCACGATCGAATAGTACAGGAAGGTGAGGGGATTCTTCACGCGCGCCGTTGTTGTTGTTGTCGTGGTTGTAACAGGGTCATCTTGTTGATAGGGCTGTTCTGATGTCGCTGGCTGCGTGTGACCTGATTGTTCCACGTCTATGAGAACCAGGGGCTCGTCCGGCGTCGTGAGGATTTGTTCTGGAACTCCGTGCCGAGTGACCTCTTCCCCTGAGCGGTCCTTCTTGCTCGTCTCGTCCAGGCCCATGCCCATCGGGGCAACGTACAGACTCATCATCAGCGCGCCATCTATCGTGTCGACGAGGCACATGCCCGCCGTGAACAGGACGGGAAAGATGAGTATCAGCCAGATGCTGGTGCCTTTTGCCCCCTGGATGCTGCTGATGCCCAGGAGGGCGATCTCGGAGCTCGTGTCAAAGCCCATGCCAAAGAGCACGCCCAGAGGATACATCTTCCACGGTCGGTCGATGAGCTTGAACATCTTCTTCAGCACCCGGAAGAGACAGCCACCGCCCTCGATCTTCCAGGCCTCCACAGCCTCCTGCTCCGGCTGCAGGCGGATGACCTTCCTAATCTGCACGACTAGCTTGTACAGGATGTAGGCGTTCATGATGCCCAGGAGGATCAAGAACGCCGCGGAGACAGAAGTCCCGATGATGCCACCGACGGTGCCGAAGCTGTCGAAGCGTCCGGCAATGCCTGCCGCGGTGGCTGCCACGACGATCGAGGTTATGATGACGATGGTGCTGTGGCCCAGGCTGAAGAAGGTCCCTACCGTCACTGGTCTTTGGCCCGTAGCTATGAGCCGGCGGGTCATCAGGTCGATGGCAGAAATGTGGTCGGCGTCCAGCGCATGTCGGAGGCCTAGCGTGTAAGCCAAGGCTGCCGTAGAGAGAAGATGGGTGTGTGTAGACAGGATCAGGCCGCATATTGCCCAGACCACGAGGTTGACCACGATGAGCAACGTGACAATCAAGATGACCGGGAGGGGGAGCTTTCGAAGATATGGTATGCTGGCATGAAGGGCAGAGAGACGGCCATTTATGCGTAATCGCTGCCTTTGAAGCCGTGATTTCCACGAGCTCTTTGGAGGAGGTGTTGTCGAGGGAGAACCCTGCTCTTCTCTTCTTGAACCTGAAGATGCCATGGCTTCATCCGCTTTTTGGCTCCCGACAAGAAAAAAACCTTGCTGTGTCACTCCAGGTTTCCCTTTTCTCTCTCCTCCTGTTTCTCCTTCTACAC